GTGTGTGTGTGTGTGTGTGTGTGTGTGTGTGTGTGTGTGTGTGTGTGTGTGGGTGTGTGTGTCTGTGTGTCTATCAATGTGTCTGTCTGTATGTGTCCATAGGTCAAAGATTAGTACCATCTGTCTGTGTGCATCAATGTGTCAGCCTGTGTGTCTATCAATGTGTCTGTCTGTATGTCCGTAGGTCAAAGATCAGTACCACCAGTCAGTGACGGCCCTGGGCTCTGAAGTGGAAACTCTACACACTGAGCTGAGGTGAGTGGCCTGAGGCGGTGGGTGGGGTGATTGGTGGGTAAGGAGGTGGGTAGGTGGCCTATGGTGGGTAAGGAGGTGGGTAGGTGGCCTATGGTGGGTGGTTGGTGGGTGAGTGGCCCACGGTGGTGGGTGACTGGCCCTGTTGGTGGGTGGGATGGTTTGTGTGTGGTGGGATGGTGAAGGGCTGGGGGTTGGTGGTTGGTGGGTGGTCTGTGGCTGGATGGTGGGTGGATGCCCAACTCTTACTAAAACTAAGCTAAATGGTTCATAAAGTAGGTCAATGGTAGCAAAGTCACGTCATGCAGAAACATTTTTGTGCTTGGTCACAGGAGCCTGAGCTCTCGGTGCTGGTCCATGGTAGTCTCAGGGATTGTCCTTGGTTGTCTGACACGTGCGTGATTGGAGGGGGCCACTGGGCAGATTGTACTTCTTTTCTTTCCCTTTTTTTTCTGCCTGCCTGCCTGCCTGCCTGCTTGCCTGCCTGCCTGTCTGCCTGCCTGTCTGTGTGTCTATGAATGTGTCTGTCTGTGTGTCTATCGTGTCTGAGTCTGTCTGTCTGTCTATCCGGCCATCTTATCACCTTTTTTCCTGCACGAAATGACTGTAATTGTTTTCGCTGGGATATGCCTCTGCTACCTCTAACTTTAACAATAAGCTCAGCGTGATCACGTGTATTTGTTTGTGTGTCGTCAGGGAGACAAGGACAGAGAACTCCACGCTGGTGCAGAAAGTCTCCCAGCTGAAGCTGAC